GATGATTTACTGCTTTCTTCCTCTACCTTGTATCCTTTTAGCTCTTGTAACACTTAAGTCTAATGACCCATTTTGAATTACATTTTGCAGGTGGTGTTGACATTGGGCCCAATTTCATTCGTTAGGATGTGGATGTCCTATTATCTCAGTGTTATTTGTTGAAAAGACTATTCTTTCTTCATTGAATTGTCTTGGCACCTCTGTTAAAAACTAACTGACCGTAAGTGTAGGGTTTATTTCTGTTAGCTATCTGGGTTCCTTACATGTCCATGAATTTTAGGGTCAGCTTGGCAATTTCTGTAAAGCAGCCAGCTGAGTTTCTGACAGGAACTGCATGAATCTTCATACCAGTACAAAATTTTTCCATCCCATTTATCATGGGTTATCTTTCCATTATTTTAGAACTTTTAAAATTCCCATGATACAGCTTTCAGTGTTCAACTTTGCCACATTATTTTGTTAAATTTATTCCTAAATATTTTATTATTTCTGATACTATTGTAAACAGAATTGCATTAATTTTATTGTTTATTGCCAGTATAGACAATTTATTTCTGTATATTGATCTTCTTTCCTGTAACTTAGCTTTTTAAAAAAAAAACAGTAGCTTTACCCTGTGTGCCTTGCTGTAATATATTCCATACCTCAAGTTACTTAATTACCCATTAGAACACTGCAACTCCAGGGCAAAAATCAAAAAAATTTTATACTTTCCTAAAGTGAAACTGTTGTCTTAGTTTTTACTTACTTTGTTATGAAATAACGCTTATTCAATTTGCTGTTCTATAACGCTTAGTCAGATTTATACTTTGTGTGTGTGTGTTTTTGCTATAAGGGCTCACTACGTAGTTCATGCTGCGATTGTGTGTGTCACCACACCTGGCTAGATTTATAATTTGTGTAATAACTAAAAGTGGGAAGCTATAACCACTTCACCCATTTCACTTTTACACTCAGAGCACCGTTCAAATACCACAAACAAACCAGTATGTGTTCATTTTTATAGGTAAGGAATAGTAGGTGTAGAGTGTCACCTGCTTTCTAAAACAGTACTACGAATGAGAAGTATGTGCATTTGATGTGTGAATATACAAAACACTGGCTGGAAATCCTCTTTAATTACATGTCACTTCCCAGATCACTGCTGGCTGTCTCTTTTACTCCCTAGAACAACTGAATTTTTGGATGCTTTTTTTGTCACTTCTCTGATGTAAGTTACCTTTTTTGAGTATTAAGCACATAATATTTTCTTTGCACTCAGGCAAGGAAAAAAGACAGTATTGGGGAAAAAAGTTTCCCTACCCCAAAAACCGACAAGCTTTTACAATGAATTGGAGAAAGGAGAAAACAGCAAGTTAAAACACTTAAACAGAGACTTGACATTTATTGTGCAATTTTTATCCCCAACAGAACATGTGGCATTCTAGAGGTATATGAGGTAATAAAATCAATACTCCAATTAGAACACCTGAAATAATTGGCTCTAGTAACAAATGTCTCTTATAATTAAAAATATTGAATGTTTAAAAAACTCTTATAACATTTTAAGTTCCTAAAAGAAATATGCCTAACACTTAAAAAACAACTTACTTTTCTATATAAATTGTTCACAAAATTTTTTTTGCTATTCTATATTACACTATGCATTTATAGTTTTATTAACATATCCCTAGTGGGTATTAACTCTACACAGAACAAATAGAAATTATTCATAGAGAATCCACAAGACTCCAACAATAAAAATACTAGGATCAATGGATCTGTCACAGTTTCTCCACAAGTGTTCATCATAGAAAAGAGAGTAAAGGCAAATTGGCCCCAAGTTAGGCTGCTACATGAAGTTCCAGAGAAGACAGACACAAAGGCAGTGCTTGCACTGGGCAAGGTCAGGCTGCACCTTGAAGGTCCAGGACCCATTTCCAGCAGGCCTTGTCCCCACGTACAAGCCAGGCCCGTCATGACCTTGGCATGCTCTTGAACTTAATGCCAAAGGGATGTTAAAGCCAAAACTACAGGAAATAATCAACAGATAACTGTATTTTCCTAAAAAAAAAAATCTTCACAACAGTTCTCACAGTGACATCATATAAAAAGCCCTCTTCCAAACCCGACTCATCAACCCCAAGGTTACAAAACTGACCAGTGTGAGAAGGGACAGAATGCTGGCTGACACCGGTGCCATCTCTGGCGGCTCCCAAGGACTCAGTTCACTAATTCCAACTTTTTTCTTTTACATCCCTACATTTTTCTACTGGGAGACTATAAAACAAATGTGAAGAAACTAGTGGTTTTAATTTCCCCACTGTAAAAAAAGTTTTCAGGTCTTCATCACGTGATCTTAGGTAAGTCAAGCCTTATTCAGGCAGCTGGCAGTTTCAGAGCACACACACTGAGCTCGTACTCCAGAATATACTTTAGAAATAACTTTTAGTAACACAGACACTAACTTTTCCTTGATGGCATAACTATAACGAGAAACCAACTTCAAAGGTTTGGTAGGTCTGGTGAACTGTGCTTTGACTACAGGGGAAAACTGAACTAGTCGTTCTTACTAAGCCCAAAGTAATGTTAGTTTAGTATCTTAGGAAGTTTTCTTATCCATAAAAGGAAGGCAACAACAGTAACAGCCTGGCAGGGCAGCTGTGAGGATTAAAAGGAGGTCCAGTCAAGTACTTGTCAAAGCAAATGGCACATAAATACTTAATACTTACGTTTACTAGTTACCTGTAGTTAACTATTATTGCAGTAACTAGTTTTAAATGGCCCAAAGCGTTTTCCAACATGGCGGAGACACAAATGACCACACTGTACTAGTGGAATCATTCTGAGAATGAACAAGTTTTTGAATTGGTCTTACTAGCAGATGTTTTTTCTCTGCCATTTGGGGAATTGTGATTCAATGAAAATACAGTCCACGTATTAGCCAGCTAGATATAAAGAAAATTAATGTGGTCACCATTACTGCAAAGATTTGGTAACTTAATGCTTTTAACAATCCACCCAACCAAACGTTATCAGATGAGAGAAAACTAGGCCCCTCACAGTTCCCTGCTATTTATTATACGATGATGTATAAAAATACATCAGCTAAGGTTTTAAAATTTACATTTATAAGTAATGATGGGGTATTATTTTTGCCTTACACATTGTCTGATGTCAAGTCTTCACTTTCCTCTAAAAAAACCACAAGAGAACGAATGCTACTGGCTGACAGCGTGAGTAACTCTGCCATCGGCTGGGTGACATTCTCCTTCCTTATTCCGAGTGAGGTGGTTATTTTTATGCAGTACTTGCATGACTGAAAGAAGCCATCACTCTGTTTACAAAAATACACCATAATGATACACACTGCTGTTTAGACACATTTACATTGGAGTTCTGACTCAAGCATTCTCTTTGACATGTTTTGCCAAGCGTTTCTGGCAAGTGTTGCCACACTAAACATACACTAGCAAGATTTGCACCATATGTGCAAAAATCATTTTCTGTTACATTTCAACAAAGCCATATAGAAGAGCTGTCAAAAATTAGCACAGAGCCGTACCATGGAATGACATAGTAATGAATGAAAACAAGTTACACATTTATATCTTTTCTAAAAATGAAGCATTTACGATGAAATTTTTCAAAAACCAGTTGGTATCTATGACCCTAAGGAGGCAGTCCATGGGCATTAGGGTTAGGGCTAGAGCACATACTGAGTGACAAGATGCAAATACGGGCAGTGAACGCCTGCTGTTCTCAGTGCAGTGCATGTCTCACCTGGCCATGACACTCCATCCACTGAGAGCAGCAGAAGGGAGGCACTGGCAGGAAACCCAGAAGTCTTGAACCTGCAAATCCCCAAGTTTGTACTCTTGTCTGGATTTTGTGTAAACACATGGAATTACAAGAATGGTAACTGAACTTTAAAGAATTTTACTTGGACTAGGGAGACCGCTCAGTGGCATAGTGCCTGCCTGGCAAGCACAAGCTCCTGAGTGCAACACTTGGTACCAAAAAAAAAATTTACTGACATCAGTTAACATCAGCTCATGCCACACGGAGTAGCTGGGTCAAATAAAAAATTGTAATGATTTTATCTCCTTATAATCTTGATGAAAAGGAATGACCCAGAATATAAAATCACCCCCTTACACTGCATCTGTGAAGTAGCCCCGGGTATCTCTTCATTCCCCCACCAAAATAATGGTAACAATTTCTGCTCTCTAGTATCATCCCCTACATTCCCAGGGAAGCTTTACGCAACACAAATGGTGACAACTGCCTAAACGCTGGGATGGCATGAGGAACATCAAGAGTGCAAAGCCCAGGTCCAACGACGACTCATTGAAATGTTTAGTTTTTCTTGGAAGCATTTAACACTGAACGTAAACCATGAGAATTGCACAATGCACTGTCGAGAGTTAAGAAATGTGACTTTACTTACTGCTAGCAGAATGCTGTCCTCCTCCACAGGTTCACTGTGAGAAGCAGGCATGACCTGTGATGCTTTGATTTGGGAAACACAGGACACGCGTACATACTGCCACTTTGAGTAGGCATGGACTGTTCTGACAGCTGGGACTCTGGACCCACCTATCCACTGACTGAAGCACAGTGTTAGCCTTTGTGGTCAGACCAGCCCTCCCTCGCCCTGGGACCTCCTCCCCTCACCAATGAGGTGAGCACAGCTGCATCCTGAGCTACTATAATTCAATCTAGTTTACACCAATGCTGTCCTGACTCAAGGACAATTCTAAAAGTTGACATAAGACTAAATTTCTTGTTATGAAAGCAATGTATCCAACTGCCACACAGAAATATGGAAAATCAAGTCAAGAGAAGCAACATCTTCAGATCTTGAAACAGGTAACTGAAAGACTGAGACTGACAGAGCAACAACCGTGTCCTATCTTCAGCGGTGAGCTTTTTTTTTTTTTGGTTCTTTGAGACAGTATCTTGCTATGTATGTAGCTCAAGCTGGCCTTGAGCTTACCATGTAGCACAGGCTGGCTTCAAACTTGTGGCAATCCTCTTGCCTCAGCCTCCCGAGTACTGGGATTACAGGCACGTGACACCATGCCTGGCTAGTGGTGAGCTTTTAACCTTGCCACACAGAAGCCTTACCAAAGACAAAGACGAAAAACAAAAGAACAAAAAATCGAATGTCCTTTGTAAGCCCTGGTTTAAAAGCCAGGTGACTGTCATGAGGTCAGTAACATCAACCTTAAAGAGGAAGCACAAGCAGCAGCATGGATGTGTGCCAAGGAGAGCAGACAGCAGGGTGTCTGAGGGGACGCTTGGTCACAGCCCTGTGGATGTAAGCCCCTGAGCCGGAAGGTGGACTAAAGGGGTACAGCAATTACACACACACAACAAGGAGAAAGGAACACCCAGAAAGGCTTCAGATCTGGCTGTGGGGTGCTGAGTCGTCCCTGTGGGCCTTGGTTTCCAGAGAGGTGAACAGAAAGCCAGCATGTCCTTCCAACATTCTAAAACTTGTGCCGTAGAGAAATAACTCACCTGGAGTGGGAGCAAACGAGGGAGGACCTGGTGTGTCTGGAGCAAGGCCGGTGTGCAAGCCCACTAGAGCAGCCTCTGCAAGTAGTGAAAATCACAGCCACTCACGGGTGTGGTGCAGCCCCGTCACATGGAAGGCTATGCAGAATGAGTGTACGGGTGTGCTCGTCCCCATCCGTGAAGATCACCACGACACTGAACTTCACTGAACTTCACGATGATGCTCAGATGGGAAGCAATGTGCAGAACTCTCAAACTTAACAGGAAACAAAGCTATTCTATTTTTCTTAAAGTGTTGGTCAAATATTGCTGCTAGAAAAAACAAGGACAGTGTACTCAGCAGTAAGGATAACTAAAACCCAGGGTGAAAAAAAAATGTAAGATGCAAAGACAGATGAGGCTATGGTCATGTTTCCTTCTACCCATTTCATGTCATCAAAGAATCTCATATGACACTGAGTTCTCAGACCTTTACGAACACATCAAGGAATTATCTTCTTTGGATATCCAGGGATACTACTGGTCTCATCAGGTGCAATAAGAGTCACCACATTTGCCTTGTGAATCATTTTTTTTACTCCCAAACTTTAGTTCATTTGCCCAAAAACAGGCCTGGAATTAGTTCTTGCTATACCTGTTACAAACCTGACAAATGACCATCTCAGATACATTAAACTTTTTGATGGACGAAAGCTAACAATCATTAAAGAGGCTACAGAAGTGGGGCTGAGGATACAGCTCAGCAGCACAAGTACCTGCCAGGCAAGTGCGAGGTCCTGAGTTCAACTGTCAGTACCAAAAATCAAAGAGGCTACAGAAGGACCTGCTTCTGGGACTACACATACTTTGGATGCTCGCCAATTACTGAACGCAAGGCTAATTTATGGTTTTACCTTCACAAAAAAGGTTTAAAAAATGTACTTCATAAATGGATGCTCATCAATTTGAATGTCCATCAGTTTTGAGTTGTGTTTGTAGATGACAACAGCCCTCAAGAAATGCTGCCAACTTAGCTGTTTGTGCAACGAAGAATGCAGTAATCCACACTAGTTTGATACAGGGAGTCTCCCCTCACCTCCAAAGCTAAATCCTCATAAATAATGATGCTAGCACCTCTGCAGCATTTGCCAAGGAAAGGTTCCAAAGACAGCACTATTTCACACACGGAGCTCAACAAGTTAAAAGGGAAGTGGCTGAAAGTAGAACAGTGTGAAATTAGCCAAAACCTGGCTTTCAGGAGAATACTGGGGAAAAGGAGGCACACACACAGTTGGGATCAAACTTTTACATCAGTGACAAAGGGAAATAGAAGTTTCATATAAATTCTGAAGATCAACTCAGCACAGAAAGACCTTCAAATTTCAGAGAAATTACTGACAAACCCATTGCATAGTTGTCAGAATGGCCTTGAAAATGTGGGTCTACAACTCCAGAACACCTGGTCAAGGCGGCAAATACCATCAGTCACACCATGTGTCTGGTACGCTGTGCACCAAACAACTAACTTACACCAAGTCTCACTGTTCAACCCATTACTTTGGCATTGTGTCGAGAAAGCCTAACTTAAGGCTATGGAAACTGTGGATCTATGAATCTACAAAGTCAAGCATTTGAAAATGATTTTGGATCTTTGGATGTTTCTTAACTAACACAACGAAACACTACTTCTGTTTGTAAACTCCAGTGATCACACAGCCTTTGTGAGCAACAAGATGGAAGTTTTCTTTGTAAAACAACACAAAAGTAGCTGGCTTCCAATGAACCACTGTCTATACACATGGCCTCTGTTCTCTGGCTTTTCGTTAAAGCAGGTCTGCTGATATACAGACAGCATATATGTCCGCTATTCTGAGTCTTTGCTGAGAATTCCTAATTGAAGTCTTTGGAAAACAGAAAGAAAACTCACTTGAATTAAACTAAGAGAATGTTTAGTCCTTGATCCTTAAAATAACTCCACATCTTACTTTCTCCCACAGGCATGAACACTAACCTAGCCTCCCTTAGAGACCAGCTCTGCAAAGGAAACAGCTAGTCTGAAGATGTGGGGCACATCACCAGGAGCTCACCTACTTTTTCACCCTCACCGTTCAGTCAACAGACATGGTATAGCAACTCTAGTTTTACTTCTGATAATATTCCTTATGTCTACTGTAGATGCCACAGACTTCCCAAACAACCATAGAGTGGAATTCTATTTTGGAACTGTGGCAGTTGGTCAAGAGTTTTAAGGTTGAGAACATGTAAAGTATGACAGAATAACATGACAGAATAACATGCTTTGGACTCTCAGGTGACAGGTACATAGACATTCACAACTGGAGCTCTTGAAAGGACGGGCTGCTACAGTAGGGAAGATTCTGTCCACTAATCCCCAGATCCATCCTGTGAACTTTTATTGAAGACTTCATCCTGTGAAGCCTGGTGATCGATCCCTTCATAAAATGAGCCACCGTTGTGCAGAAAAGTCCCCACTGCACGCCCCTGCCGGGCGTGACCCACAGCGTCGCTGAACACTTTGTTTATCTGCTCCTCTGAGGGCATCCACCAATCGGGGTTGGAGGTACAGTGCATCCTAATGAATTCTGTGGGAATATACACAACAGTAAAACAGAGAGAGAAAAACACAACTGGTTTTGACAGGAGACAGCCTGCTTAAACTTTAACATAAGTTCTATCAGAAAAGCTACATGGGAGATCCAATGCAATGCCATGATGAAGCCACTTGTGACACACCCAACTTATTCCAGACCACTTTCCTTTTCATGTGGAAAAGTAAAAATTACTTAAGTGAGAAGTATCTAAGAAACACTTGCTGTTGAAAAGAAAGGTAAATCTGATTTAGTAAGACAAGGTGGCACCACGCCTGCTATCAGCTGGGGAGTGCATTTCAAAATCCATGTTGTTATTTGCTTGTATTTTGAGAAAGTTGTTAGCTACTTGTATTTTGAGAAAGTTACCTCAGGAAGGATAGCGAATATCATTAGTATGGTATTCTGTAACCTGCTATTAGTTTGAAGATTAAGTATAATAATCTATCAGGGTCTCTTGTGCCTTGTTAATTTTTCTGTTAAGTGTCTTCCTTAGACACGGCCAACCCACATCACAATCACCTAGGGTGATTGTGTCCAGGAGCCATTTGTATCTTCCCTAACCCTACCGAATGGGTATCTCTGAAATGGGCTAGGGAATCTTAGCTGCCAACAAATCCTACATAAGCACTTTAGGCACCTAAGGCTGCAGCATTCAAGTAGAGACACCCAGCAGTGAGTGTAGGAATACTCCTTCCAAGACCCAAAGCCTTGTCAGCGACACTTCTTTAAAACTGTGAATTCTGTATCAGGATAAAGTTTGATCCTTATCCAAATTAAATCAATGTTATGTCTTTCCAGCCAATAAAATTACCATAGAACTATAGAGGTTAATATTTGAGATTTTGCCCTATTTTGTTATGAAATTTTGTTTTACTTTTCAATGGAAGACAGCTTTTTATATTTTCTCTATTAATATCTACTTGTATTACATTAAATTAAAAAATGTACTTATGATCTTGGAGGAGGCTTTCTCGGGTGTGTTTTGGTTGCACTGTAACGCTGCTACTTGTCTGATTCCGTGTTTATTTGCACCTGCTGAGTCATCTGTGTACCTCCTTATCTTCCCTCCCAACTGTGTGCCCGGCCTGCAGCAGCGCACAACAGCTTCAAAATAACCACCCGTTAACATCGAGGAAATGGTATTATTATATGAGCAGTATTTTTAACGTAGAAACTTTTTTAAGCTAAAGAAGAAAGCTTTCCTGGGTAAGGTACTCTTTAAGCAGTATTCTAAACAAATCTAAGGACTTGGGCCATGTATTCTTGGGGAGGAAGATAGATGGGGGTGCCCAAGCTCAAGTGGAAGTAGGTATCATTTTACCAATTAAGAAAATCCACATCTTCCCTTCCTGTGTGCATTTCCCTATGCTCCACTTTTGCCAGAAGCAGCCTTCTCTGGCAGCAAAGAAAATCTGTACTGAAAGCGTGAAACATGAGGTGCTATGCAATGCTATGTATCACTAAGTGGGAACGAGGCTAAAGCAAACGAGGAGTTTTTAGAGCTTCTCAATACCAAGTAGATGGGCCACATGAAGGCTATAAGGTCTCAGTGGAAAGAAATCAAAATACAGTGAGGCTGAACACTTGTACAGGGAGCCACAGCCAATGCAGTGAAATGGGATCACGGATGGCGGACACTGAGCGGAAGGATGCAGTACCTCGGAGGCACGTGACTTTAACTGGATCCAGAGGGCGTCTTTCAGGACCTGTCTCTCCTGACTGCACTGACCTTTTCCTTTTCCCAAGGCCGCATGAGTACTTAAGCTCATCAGTTGTGAAAACAAATCTGATGAGGTATCGAAGGAGCCGTCTCCCGTCTTTCTTTGAAGAATTTACGGCCTCATCCCACTGTTTGCTCGTGATGTAGACAGGATAGTTGTTCAACAGCTGCTTGCTTCCCTGGAAAAGCAAAATATTTTCTCATTACCTACTGAGCCAGGCAGCCAGAAGCCAAAGCGATCTCCACTTCAAAGGCAAACGTGCCTTTTAACCAAGTGGCTATGCTGACAATGCACCAGGGACTGAAGAGCGCCAGGGACTGCTCGCACCCAGGAGGGGCACTTTTCCAATTACATTTGCATTTCCGTAACAAGAGCCAATGAGGTATAATGAACACCTCTGAAAGAGGCGCTATTTATAACTCGTATTTTAACAGGTAGGTTAAAATGTGTCAAGATCCAATGACAGTGAACACTATTTAAATATAACCTGTAACTTTCCTTTTCAATCTATTAAAAGATGCAAAAATGACTTTGAAGAGTGTGATCAAACAGGTCCCTTCATCCTTTGGTTGACAGTTAAGTTCTTTTAGAAATGATGCTGGTGGTCTTATTTTAGCAAGGCACTACTTGTGTTTAACGCCCCTAACACCTGATAGCCACTGTGTCATGATACAAGCAGTGTTAAAGTGAATTTTAAAATGAAGGGATTGTAGAAACTGAAAAAAAAATCATTAACAATAATGCAAAACAGGTTTCCTCAAATTACAGCTTCTGCACATGCCACTATGTCAATTCAAAATTTTTCTTACTTTTCCCCTTCATAATTTATGTCTGCTGTAAAATTCCCAGGCTAAACAGCTGCAGTGGGACTAATTACAGGGATTTCTGTAACATTTATAGGCCATGTTTAGTCAACTGCACCTACACAACCGTTACTTTAGTTCTGGCTGTCTATAAAATTCTATAGTCCAGGACAAATTAATTAACCCATGATCTCAGCTTTAATGTACTCCTTCCCCAGTAATTAAGGTGTACAAAATAAAGAAAGGGAAACTCATTCAGTTTTATAACTCTACAAGTTTACTACAGGTTATAAATTTGGCAGTGTTTGGGTCTGACAGCATGTTGTTTCTAAAAGTGCTCTACTTCGTTAAGCATGGAGATGGGTGAATGAAATAAAAGCCAACAGAAAAGAGGCGGCCAGATGTGTCCAGGAAGCCACCTCTGAATTGTGCAAGTGGAAATTCATCGCATTGGTATTCACATTTTCCAGAAAGCAACAGTGTGACTTTGTTTCCCCTTTTAAGGGAGCAGCTGAGACTGGGGTTTGTGCTTCAGACTGACAGGCTAGGTTTAAAATGAATCTTGGTTTTGTTGATGTGTCCAAGTTACCTGAACTTGTTGAATGAAAGTTCTCTCATCTGTGAAATAGGAGCGTAGGTCTCTGAAGTGAACATCTGGGAGTGTCCATCAACCCCTGGCTCTTGTATAACAGGGGACCCCATGTACCAGAGGTGATCAGAACATGGCTGGGAACGGGGAATCCACAGGTTCCTTCAGCCCAGGTTTCCCTTTAGGGTAGGTGGGAGGTGAGGCAGGTAAAGAGAGAATGAGATGCAGAACCAAGGGGCCAGGTAACCATCAGTGAGCCAGAGTTGAAAGACCAAGGTGGTGACGCAGCGAGATGCTGTGTAACACCAAGTGTTGAAGTGTTATGTGTAGTGGCTCTCGGCAGGGCTAGGAGGACGATTCAGGCTGCAGGGGAAATAATCCCTCTGCCTCCTAGGCACTGGAGGGGACGGGCTCAGAGCTGACTCTTTGACCTCTCTGCCCTCAGGGGAGCCAGGTGGAGCCTGGGGTGGTGGAATTTCAGGCTGGCTATCTTGGATCCAGTAGTTTTCCCTCAAGTACATTCCAACAAGGTCCTCAAGGTAAATGGCCCTACTTATTGGCGCTTGACGATCAGCCTGGGGTGCCTGCCCCAAGCACTCTTCACCACTGGTGTCCTTTCTCCTCCCAGGCAGCAATGCCACTTCTACTACAAAGCTGGGCTCTGGGTTAGCCTCAGGCAGGTGACTAACTTCTCTAAACATCACCTCCCTTCTGTCAAAACAGAAAAACAATCCCAGCTGAACTGATTTGTCCTGAGATATCCACAAATCCCCCACCAAAGAGCTCTTGAGTGCTAAACTTTATCTGTCTTATGCAATGCCCTTTTCCCAGGACCAATTGTGCTTTTATGGTCCCTATAAATATGTACACCTGCCAGCCTGAGAAAAGGAAACTGCATAGCAACTTTTTATACTTAAAAATTTACAATTTAAAACTTAATACTACAAAATTTTAAAAAATAACCTGTTTCCCTCAAGTGTGCAAGCTCACCTATAAGTCAAGATTCCTGCTTTATTTTAGAGCTTGGACCCAACTCCAATGGGCTGAGCTGGAAACACTGTCCTGACTCAGCATTCACCCCAGTTTGGTGCTGGGCCTCTAATCCATTTCCAGATGGGAGGTGCTTACGATTCAGGAGGGGACAAGAAAACACCCTTCTTAAATCCTTAAAAAACTCCACTCACAGAAAGATTTAAACTGCAGAAGCTCTACATAAAACACTGGTCTCATAAAATGTGGAAATACCATTTGAAAGTAATTTTCATCAAGAAAAAGGCAAAGAAAGAGCGAGTAATTTACAGCCTGAAACACAACTCAGAATGTGAGTTACGGATGACAGTTACAATCTTGTTTTAGCACAGTTAATAGAAATAAAATAAGATAAATAATAAAAATGAGAAAGTGCTCATGGCCTAAAATAACAATAAAAGTAGTATAGTAACAATGACAATGCCGGGTAATAAAAGTTTAAATAGTTCTACCTTGGGGAAATAGATTTCCCTATTTCATGGAATATGGATTCTATATCCTCTTTAATTAGTCACCAACAAATTATTAAAGTCTGACCAATTTTTGAGTCACTCTGAAAAAGAAAATCAAGACAATGTGTTCATAGGATCACAACCAAACGGAGGACAGAGGTAGGCAGTTCTGAGTTAGGCTTATGAACAGTGCTACGTGATCACAAAGCAGGGAAGGAGCAACCCGGAAGAACATCTTAGAGAAAGTGCACCTCTGTGTTTTTTTATACTAACAAAGTGTCAAGTGAGCAATGAAGGAATGTTAAGCATGTGACATTCAGTTTGGATCTCTAATTTAGGGTCAACTTCCCATTAAAGGTGGAGATTGAAGATGAACCAATCCATGACAATATCCAAGTGAAAAGTGTTGAGAGCCAACCAGAGAGAAGAGACAATTTACTTAACTGTCCAATTAGGAACAAGGAAGAGGAAAGAAAGCCAAAGCATGTTGGGAACTTCTCCTGGATTCGGTGGAGCCTTCAGAGAACACGAAAGCATGGATGTCGGGGTGTTGGGCTGTGGGGACAGTGCTCTTGATGTCCCCTTGGGACCTGGTTAACCCCCACATGGTGGATGTTTGGAGAAGGCACAAGACTGAGCAGAGAAAGCGCAGAGACAGTGAAGGGGAAGGATCCAACTCCGAAACTGTGGATGAGAAACTTCTAAAAGCTCCATGAGAAAAGCGCTGGGAACTCAAGAGAGCAGTGACACAAAGGGCAGGGCAGAGCAGGTGCACACCAGGTTCCCAGGCTGGAAAAAAGGTCCGTAGGCCAGACAACTGGACCAAGTGCCAGGGGCACCTTGCAGAACACTGTGGGGAGTAGTGGTGGTCAAGTAAGATTGCAGGGTGGACGAGCAAGGGAGTAGGGAGTGGAGAGGATGAATGCAGACCAGTCTTGCAAGTTTCTAATCACTTAAAAGGAATGAGGTCACCAGGCTGCAAGGATAAACCGAGCACTTGCTAGGAAAGGCAGTCGGAGTCCTAAGGGAATGCAACTTTGGCCCAATGTTCAAGGAGGAGAACTGAGCCAGGAGTCCCGGTGCATGCCTGTGATACCAGCACTCTGCGAGGCTAAGGAAGGAGGATCGTGCACTTGAGCGCGACCTGAGCAAGTGGTGAAACCCTGTCTCAAAATAAATATAAAAGGGCCTGGGGCTGTAGCTCAGCGCAAAGGCCCTGAGTTCAATTCCCATTACTACAAAAGGGGGTAGGATATCACGAAAGCATTGGCAAGGGATCTTCAGGAACACACTGTGATAGAAGGACAAAGTAAGGACAATGAGCAAGGGAGACGCAGACGGAGTTTTTTCTAATTGTATTTGTTTGTTTGTTTTGTTTTTTTGTTTTTTTCTGGTACCGGGAACCGAACTCATGACCTTTCGCTTGCCAGGCAGGCGCTGTGCCACTGAGCTAAATCCCCAGCCCCAGTTTTTTCTAATTGTAGAGAAGACCTGAGTGTGTGTGACACGCAGAGAATGACCCATGTTCTAAAGTCTGTAAACTGAAAATAGTATATTTAAAATTAAGTCTTGAGTATCCTGTAAAAATGACTGTTTAGAGCTGTGCAGGGTAGTGTACACCTGTAATCCCAGCACTTAGAAAGCTGAGACAGGAGGATTGCCCCCAGTTCAAGACCAGCCTGGGCTACATAATGAGTTCAAGACCAGCCTGAACTACATAGTGAGACCCTGTCTCAAAAGTTTAAACTGCTAACACTCTATCACTTATCAAACTTGACGTCATTTTTCTAGGAGACTGCTTTCTTCTACTGAGGGCCAGAGAAACAAACCGGCTCTTATTTAGGGGTTCTGGACAATAGGCTACCTAAACGCTGGGGAAGCTGGGCGTGGTGGCACAAACCTGTAATCTCAGCACTTGGAAGCCTGAGGCAGGAAAACTGCCTTGAGTTCAAGGCCACCCAGGACTATGTAGAGAGAGACCATGTTCCAAAAAAAAGAAACCCCAAAACACTGGGGAGTGCCAATGCGTGAGATCCTGACAGGGAGAGTCAAGCTGAACAATGCCTCTGCCTGAGGGCACGACTGGTCCCTGTCTCCACTTCAGCTCTTACTACACCAAAAAGGTGAAAGAGTGCACACAGTTACATTGCTATTTCTACTTCCTACCTCCCTCCCCCAGTGAGACGAAATCCCTGTGAGTTGAACACATGTGGTATTTCTCCACAGAACACACACCTAGAGATAACAGACTCATAAACTTGCCCGTCTAAATGCATCTGGCTGGCCCATCTGTTCTGGCACAGTGGCTGGTTATCTACAGGCTTCACCCTGCGGAACATTATATCTCCTTGCACCTAACACCCACCTCAGTCGGCTGGTCAGCTGGCTGGGGCATCAGGAGCTGGTTGTGGTGCTGCAGCACTGTCTTCAGGTAATCCAGCACAGTCTGGCAGGGCACTGAATGAGGGAATGCAATGGTCACATATGAGCAATCTCTCAATATGCAAACAGAAAATTCTGAGGTCTGAAAAGACTATTGACCTGAATTTCTAAAAAAAAAAAGGATTTTTCTTTCTGAAGGAAACAGAATTTTCCTTTATCTGACATCTGTAGTTATTTTAGCTTGTAAATACAGAACAGATGCTACAATTTAGGCACGATTTTTAGATCAGCACAATTTGATGAGAACTTTCTCCAACTTACTCCAAGATCAATGTAGGTCAACAACAGTAATCATGAACAACTAAATGGAGAGAGAGGTCTTTCTGACTCCAGTTGTAGTGTAAGCACCCAATAGTACTTTTAAAAAGTAAGGTACTGAACTAACATTTCACTGGTTTCTAATCAGTAATATACTCACTGCCAGGCTCAGGGCATGATCTGTCCCCCAAAAGTTCATGTGCTGGACTCTTGATCCCTACTGCATTGATGCTGAGATGCTGGGAGTTTTAAGAGACAGGGCCCAGGCCAGGTAATTTGGTCAATGAGAAATGCCCTGAAGGAACTGAGGTAGGAACCCTAAGTTAGTTCTCAAGAGAGGGCTTGTGAAATAGGAATTACTACACCCCTCCCCGTCTGACCATGTGACCTTTCCCTCACCCGTTCCCACCATGATGCCCTCTCCCATGATGTGATCGGCTGCACAGGCCTTCGCCAGAGCCGGGACCATGCTGTCCACGCTGTAAACCTCCAAAATGGTGAACTAAAAGAAGCCCTTTTCTCTCCGTTACCCAACTTTGGGTATTGTTATGGAAACAGAAAAATAGACAAATCTTTTTTTAATGACAGAATTATTCCTAAGTGCCATCAAGGAGTATGAATTGTATCCAATTTAGACTTGCTTCCCACCAGGAATGCAACTGCGATGCAGTTCTTACTGATGGCATCTGTTCTCTTCCTTAAGAAGCTAAACTGGCTTGGTTTAATTTAGACTTGATATGTATTTCACTATTTCTCTCTCCCTCTCTCTCTCTCCCCCTTTCTTCCTTTCTTTTCTGAAACTTTGTCTTTACAGACAAATTCTAATTGCATAATTCTAATAAAACAACAGATATTAACACAATATGGAACATAACAGTTTTTGTACCACTGTATAAATAATGCCAACATTTTAAGATATGTATCACAGCTCTCTCATAAATATTAACTAATTCCTTTTAAAGGTAGCTTAGTTAATAATATGGAATGCTGCCACTACCTTTCTTAGCTCTGTTTTCTTATTTTTCTCACATTAAAGAAAATAATGAATACTGAATTTAAGTCTCAATTTAAAAGTGTCACCACTGACCTTTCCTCGCTTTTTCTCACTTTTTCCCCTCCCCAGATAGCAAACAAAATTATCATCTTTAACCACCGTTAATGCCTTTGGGTTCTAAGCTGACATCACCTTGTAACGTAATAAATCCCAAGGTGCCACCAGTATTCTTTTAAAAAGTGTAAGTAATAGGAAGTAGATTAGAAGAATTTTTTCTTGCCATACAGTTTTTTTTGAGACACGGTCTTGCTGTGTAGACCAGAGTATCCTTGAATTCATGGTAATATTCCTGTCTCAGCCTCTGGAGTGCTGGGCTTATAGGGTTGCACCACCACACCTAGGCAAAACAGTTCTTAAATAACCATCCTTACAGAGCTCTGTCATGGCTGCCTATGAATAGTGACCTGAACATATTTTTTAAATTGAAGAAGCATTTGCTGAACAACCACAGAAGTCAACCAAAAGAAGTCATTCTTGAATGCCTGTTACTTAATAGAAGTTTAATGAAACTTGAGAAGAACTCCTAATTTCACCAGCTATTAAAAGTCTAACCCACTTTACTAACACCATAGTAAGGAAGATTACATCCTCTGGCGTTGGACATTAATTATGAAAACAAAAGGGAAAAAAAACCAGAAGAGTTGAGAAACTAATAGAGACAGGAGACACAGAATTTTAGTTGTGGGTTTTCAAAAGACTCACTATGATCTTTAGAACTTCATTTAACTTCTATAACTATGTGTAAAGGAAAAGCCAAAGTATTAGTAACAACAAACAACGACTCATACTTTAGTCATGGTATTATGATGGCTACTATTCCTTTTACATTGTCATTCTCATAAAAAGCAGTACAGGTGACCATCCCTAATCTGAAAATCTCAAACTGCTCCAAAATCGGGAGTTCTGGTTGGCCACCATGATGGCACAAGACAATTCCACACCTGACTTCATGCAATAGGTTTCAGTCAAATCACATACCTGTACACTAAAAATGTTGTATTAACTGAGCTTCAGGCAATGTGTACCAGGTCTGCATAAAACATAAATGGATTTCTTATTTAGACTTGGGCCCCATTCCCAAGGATCTCACTATGTACCGAATTGGACAAGAACAGAATCAAATTCAATGGTTAGGTTTAATGTTGACCTCATGGGGAAATTGGATTTGGTTCTTTTCTAATTTGGAAAGATTTACATTTGTGAACTGAAGTACCACTGTATATGCAAACATCCCCAAATCTTAAAAAACAAACACACAAAAACCCAAATCCTGCCATCACTATTCTCTTGCTTGGTGGCTACTCTGTAAGGCAGGTAAGGTAAGGAAAGGTTGACTGACTGGGGCTGGTAGCTCTGATCTCCAGTTTTCAAGGCTGATTAATTTCCAGCTAAGTCTTATCTTAGGGGAAACACAGTAAATAAGTTTTGATCAAAGACTGCAGGTTCCTATACTGGAAGAAAATGAAATCTTATGTGCACAAGTGGGTCCTACACACTCATATCTGGGGATATATGGATAAAGGTCAGGAAGATTGAGGACAAAGCGCAAGTTCAGCCTACTGTAGGAAACAGTCGCTGTCCTGGGCCCTCAGAGTGACTCCCTCCTTCTAGGATCTGCCCTAACATCCTCCCGCCCAATTCTCACAGGCAGACCCTCTAGGTGCCCCTCCAACCCAGGTTCAGAGTGTGTCCTGCCAACACAGGGCCAGAGTGTGTCTTTGTTAAAATTGCGGAGTATTCGTGGCCTAAAGGTTTTGGACAGCTGCCTAGATTTAAACAAGGGAAGCTGCAGAACCTAGTGAAGTATTTTCTGCAAAAAAAAAAAATCCCCAAATCAGTCAATCTGGAAAGTGGGACTAGGTATACTGAAGTGGGGGTGAAACATATTACCCTGACCCACAGTTACACCAGGCCGTGGACCCAAAAGAAGCACGAGCCACTGAAACGGCATCGTGGAAAAACACCCATTCTCTTGTCCCTTGGTTCTGTGGATGGCTGTGATATTTCCAAGGACACGGCCCTCACAGACTGGGGTGCAACCAGCCAGAGCGCCATGTGTGGCAGTCCTGTGTAGTCCACCACGTTGCTCCTCTGGTCTTCAAGAAGAGAGCCAGGTCAGTGCTTGCACTAGAGAAAGATCATCAACAGGGTCTTCCAGGAGCTGATTAGGCCCATAGAGGCCTCTATCCCTAACTGCCTCCTCATGTAAATTCTGAAATAAGGTAAGTCATCCCGGCTGATGGAGACCACACAACCTCACATCCACGGGGTGGATTTTACTCATTCACTTGTTTATTTGACAAGTCCTACTACAAACTTCCATTAAAAGGGAATGAGGCTATAAAGGAATCTAAAACTACTTAAAGTCTCTCTGTAAATACTAAGTACTTAGTACTTAGCCTGGTAATATTTGTAGTTTTTTCCCTGTACCTAAAAGCACTTAAAAATGCATTCTGCATAATTCTGGAAATAGTGAGAGGTGGGATCCAGAGGTGTGGAGTTGAGTGGAAATGGGAAAGACTGGTTACAGGTGGATCTGAGGCACCTAACCTGGGTACTGAAGTGTTACCACTTCACCAGGTAAGAACACTGCTTATAATCCAGGAATATCACCAAATGTCTGTTTGCTAGGCACAACAGCCTCTGTCTCTCTTCTTAAAGTTGATATTTGTCAAGAGCTCACTGGAAGACCCAGTAGGCACTCACTTGCCACTGACTGACTTTAATATTTTCATTATTCCTGTAGTATTATTATTAAACTTGTTTTATGGGAAGGGGAAACTGAAGCTCAGAAACAATTCCCCAAAAAGCACAGCTTGCAAATGGCCTATCCCATACCTATACTGCGGGTATTCTTTTGTTCTTGCAAAATTCCTTTATCCAACAAGTGACATTATTGATTTATTATTTTTTTAATCTTCTTAGGGGGCTGGGAATTTAGCTCAGTGGCACAGGGCCTGCCTGGCAAACACAAGGTCGTGAGTTTGATTCCCGGTACCCAGAAGGGGTGGAATCATCTTAGAAAATGACAACAGTAGACTAACAGGATCAGAACTGCATAATACAACTACAGAGTCTATTTTGTAGCCTTGTGAGTTACTGTTTGAGGGTTCCAAATTTTGCCTGCTTGCTAGAATGTACCTATAAAATGTACAGACCAACACTGACAGACACATGTGAAGCCTAACCTGAGTCACCTGACATCCACACGTCCCAGCTGAGGTTTGAAAAGGAAGATTCTGTCCTCTTGTTTCAGCTCTCATACTGTAAACAAGAGTCTTGTCATGATCTGTTTAGTGCTACACTCCTTCTATTTTTGTTGGTGGTGTCACTACTTAAAGTGGTCTTCAACTGTAGGGTTAAAGTGCTTTTTAATGTTTCTAAGCACAAGAAGGCTGTGATGTGTCTTATGGAAAAAACGGGTATATTAGATAAGCTTCATTCAGGCATGAGTTATAGTGCCGTTGCCTGTGAGTCCAACGTTAATCAACCAGCAATAAATATTAAATAAGGCCTTTTCAAATGAACACACATTAAATAAGGTTATGTATTGATTAGCTGTGAAAAAACTAGGAGAAAAAAAGAAAGAAAATGCTGTAAGCAAAGGCTCTCGGGAACTTAGCTTTGCTTTTCCCCCAGGAGTAATTTCTCAGTATTTGCTAATTCAGTGTTCACAGAGATGCTGAAGGACATAACTTCTGCAAAGGAGCACCAGCTGTATTCTGATGGTGGAATGCGGTAATAAATTAGGTCTGGAGTTAGAAAGCTTGAATTTCAATTTGCCATTTATTGTAGCCTCAACTTTTCCATACAGCGGGAATTATATTAGTATTTTTTGTGGGACCATGGAGTTTTTTGTTTTTTGTTTTTTCAAACATGTTACTACCCTGGTGACTGTGCCATGAAGCCCACAGCCAGTGAATAAGGTCAGCAGCTACTCTTTGAAGACTCTGGCACACCGAGGCAATAGCCAATACCCAAGCATGACTCTAGCCTCGATGGGCCACGGAGTTTTAATAAACTGAAAGGATCAAAAATACACTTTTAGAAAGTAGTATTTCTTACAAAAATGCCTACAATACTCTTCAATAAAGGGTATTGAAAAACTGGATTTCCATATGCAAAGAATGAAATTAGACCTGCACCTTAAACCATACATAAGTCAATGAAAAATGCATAAAATACTTAAATGTAAGACCAGAAACTACAAACCTATGAGAACAAAAGAGAAATGCTTCTGGACACCCACCTTGGCAGTAACCCAAGTAGGAGACCTGAAACTACAAAGCCAGAAGGGAACATGGGGGCGGGCAGGTGCCAGGCTCCTAGACACTGACCTTGGCGCTTGCGTTTTGGATACCACTCCAAAAAACTCAAGCCACAAAAGCAAAAGGAAATAAATGAAACAATGTCAAACTAAGCAGCTTCTGCACGGCAAAGAAGACAACCAACATAATGAAACAGTAGCCTATGGATTAGGAAAACATATTTACAAATCATGATAAAGGGTTAACATCTAAAATTTATAAAGTCATAGAACTCAACAGTAGAAAACCACAACCAATTCAAAAAATAGGCAAAAGGCCTGAATGCTCTCCAAAGACATAAGAAAGGCTAAAAGGCAATTAAAAAGGTGCAGAACATCTATCAATCACTGGGGAAATAAAAATGAAAACTACTAATGCACCACGTCATACCCTCAGAGTGACTATGACCGTAAGGTGAAAGTTAACAAATGCTGTTGAGGGCGTGGAGAAAAGGAACTCTTCTTGTCCCTTCTGGTGGGCATGTAGATTGGTGTAGCCATCACGGAGGTTTCTAACGAAATTAAATACAAGCCAGGGAAGGTGGTGCACACCTGTAATCCCAGCCCTCTGCGAAGCTGGCACAGGAGGATCCCAGGTTTGAGTCTAGCCTCAGCAACTGAGCAAGACACTGCCTCCAAATAAAAAAATAAGAAAGGGTTGGGGATGCAGCTCAGTGCAAAGGCCCCCCAATCCCTAGTACCGGCAGGGGTGACAGAGTACTAGACACAGACCTACCATGTGACTAACCAATTCTTCTCCTGGATATACAGCGTAAGGAAATAAAATTACCTTATAAAAATATCTGCACTCCCACGTTCAATGCAGCATAATTCACAAAAGCCAAGACATGGCACCAGCACAAGTTTCCATGGATGGACAAATGGGCAAAGAAACTGTGGCACCTATACATAATGGGGTATCATTTGGCCCTAAAAAAAGAACAAGATCTTTCAATCTGCCCCAACATGAAGGAGCCTAGAGGACATTATGCTAAATGAAATAAGCCACACAGGGAAAAAAATTGCGTAATCACATACATGGAGTAAAAAAAAATCAAGTACACAAAGATAAAGAATAAAGTAGTTCCTGGGGAGCTGGAGAAAGGGGAGGAAGGAGGAAGGAGGTCAAACACTGCAAAGTGATACATAGGATAAACAAGTCCAGAGAGCTAAGGTAAAACAGGAGGATTTTATGTTACAGAATTATTCTCTATTTTGGACTCAGGCTAAAATGAGCAGATTTTAGCTACTGCTGCCACAAAAAACCACAAAACAAAATGGCCACTGTGAGATGACAGATGTCAATGTTTTTACAGTAATTTTCTTTTTTTTTTTTTTTTTTTTTTTTTTTTTTGGTTTTTCTCCGGTACCAGGAACCGAACTCATGACCTTGCGCTTGCCAGGCAGGCGCTTTGCCACTGAGCTAAATCCCCAGCCCCTACAGTACTTTTCTTTATTATCTATATGTATTGCAAAACACCTTGTTAAATGCTTCAAATATATACAATAAAATTTATTTTAAAAAATCACATTTATCTTTCCTACATGTAGCATTTAACAAATTTCAAAGTATTTTAATTACCACATTTTATGATTCTAAAACTTAGCTTTTATTTTACAATCTATGGACTTTGTGTTTAAAGGCAATTATAATTATACAGTTATGATTTATAATGTTTTTTCTGCCTGGAGTGGTAGCGCACGCCTGTAATCCCAGCATTCGGGAGGCTGAGGCAGGAGGATGTCTTCAGTTTGAGACCAGTCTGAGCTACAAAGTAAGCTCAAGGCCAGCCTGAACTGCATAGCGAGACCCTGCCTCAAAAAGATGTAATATTTTTTTTTTCTTTCTTAGTGGAACAGAAAGACTGATATGTCTCACATTCAACAGTATCTTAAACTGGATGAAATATGGTGTTCTATGCCCCCTCCTAAGTGCCCTCTTAATGGTTAACTACAAGCTATTTAAATAAATATGACTACCCCAACTTGATATTCTCCTCTGGAAAGTTCCTGTACCATTTTATTCTAGTAAGTATTCAGCACTTCATATTCCTGATCCAGATCTTTTCTTTTTGTGGTTTTCCTTTAATCTATTTTCATTTCCTTCAAAAAAAAATCTAACTTTTTAACAGACTTTCTAATTTCTGGTGCGACTGCGTAATATGAAAGAAAAAGTGCCAATGCCATTTCTTTGGCACTGCTGCTGGGGTTACCTCCAGGACACTGTTTTCTCCCCAGTGTAAGAGGAGAAGTGTAAAGAAGTTACAAAAATACCCCTCTGAGTGGACCTCAGTGGACTGAGTGGACCATACTTCACAGAGCTGAGAGAGTTGTAAATTCCAGTGTGCTGTCCGCAACCTATCTTCCTGACTTGGAGGAAATGCGCAGTGTTCTGGTTCCATTACAAGCTTTCAGGTTTTAGCCGGTATATCTCTGGCAGTCAGCACCCACCTGGCTTGGGGAAACACCACGTACCTGTAACCCCAGAGCTCAAACGCAAAAAGAAAGCATGGATTTACTATACCTCTTGATTTTCATCCCCAAAACTACTCTACTTAATCTAATTCTCAAACATTTCGAAACAAGTCTTGACTCTTTTGGGGTAATTCTTTTCAATAACAGAGTGGAAAGATATTAATTTCTAATTTGGCAATTCTTTTTTATATCCCTTTGCCTTTTCCTCCCTCACCTCTCACTTGGCAATTCTTTTCTTTTCTTTTCTTTGTTTTTCTTCCAGTACCAGGAATTGAACTCACAACCTAGCGCTTGCCGGGCAGGCACTGTGCTGCTGAGCTAAATCCCCAGCCCATCACTTGGCAATTCTTGACACTTGTTTGCTCCTATGTGTCATAATAAGCAAGCAGAATTTTCTTCAGCATTGCTGTTTTTCTTGAGAGGATCAAAGATACTGGATTAAGCAAACAACACAACTTCTCTTTACATGTATATACCCAGTCTTAATTTTTAAATTATACATGCTTTACTGTTAACATATTAACATAGCCATTCATGTCTGTAATTGACCATTAAACATGTAGACCGACAGGCACATGCTCCAAAATCTCCTATCCACAGGATACATGATTCAAAAGATTCAAAGATATTATTCTACTAATGACCTTAATATTTTTTTTAAGCCCCTGACACAGGAATGAATTTAAAGATAAAAGTGAGATCCAAACTTTTTTTTCAAAGAGTGAAAAAACAATTTAGCCATCTAGAGAAGGCCTTGGCATAAAGACAATTCTACTACCCTGGCAATCTAGTCTTTAAGAAGCAGGAAATGCCTCAGGTTTAGCCAGGGGCACAAACAGTCTAGGGCTAGCCTAATTACTGGTTTATCTCTGACCTATTAGTTTGTAGTTTCTTATTAACTGCATGCTACGAAGTGACTGCCTATTGAAACCTAACAAGAAAGAAGAAATTAATGGAACAGAAGAGAACATCTCATTTGTTCAGTACCACTCAAGTCCTACCTCTGAAAAGATGGTTTCATTTTAATTTCTATCAATGACTGAGCCTTTAAAAGTGTAAAAGCCATTTTAAGGGCCACTTTATGAACACAACTCCGGCTCATAGCACTTGATTTATTTCAATGTCAAGGCACCACCTTTGGAAGTACTTTACTATCAATAGAGACCTCTTTTATGGAAACTATGATCTTCCAGCCTATATTCAAGAACACTGCAGCTGAAACATACACCAGACAGGCTAGCAGTTCACCCTGAAACCTGTCTGGTAAAAGGAGGACCAAGGACTCCTTGTGCATGCCTATTTTTCCAACTTTTCTACATCACTGGCAAAAAAAAAAAAAAAAGTACACGCATACCCATTCATCTGAATAGTTGAAACAACTGAATGTAACGAGCTGTAGTTGTCCAGCAAGTAGTAGGACAGCATACCTGGAATGCTCTCTAATTTCCTTCTGAGCTCTTCATTTTCTTGTTGCAATGAAATAACCTCCTGCTCCAACTCCTGGCATCGAGGGCAGTAGCCTTCCTCTTCCTCCTCCTCCTCCTCCTCCTCCGGCAGTGTAGAAGAGGATGGGTGGCCGTGGGATTCAGACGTTGCTGGGGAGGTCCAGCCGCCCAGTGTGTGCACCGGGGAGGCTGAGAGAGGATCCACGTCGGCCAGGTGGCTATACTCACTGCCTGACGAGGTGTTTGGAGTTGGAAAGCTCCCCGAGAGCAGGTAATTTTGGAGAGAGTCGGTGAAAACCCTCAAAAAGGCAGAAGTTTGTTGTTTCCTTTGCATATAGTGCATCTCTATGTCTACACTGTCTGAGGTCTGACTGTGGATTCCTTTCCCAACGTGACACTGTTCCTGTCTTTCATTGTAACTAGAGCCTTCCTGCTTTACGCAAGAAATTATAGATTGAGAATGGTTGGAGTCCAGAAGTTTTCCTCCACAATTTAAGAGACTAAGTACTCGACTGCACTGCTGGGCAAAGGCATCCAAGATCATACGACTCTCTGAAATGAAAGAAGAAACATCAGTTACTGACAAAAGCAAGTAAGCGAGGCCTTCAATTTAGAGTTTAACATTTACACTTAAAAATATGTATTTCTACTGTCAAAAATCAAGGTGACGTGCTGAATTCATTACTAACAGCCAAACAGCTTCCTGTTGTTCTGCCTGACGAGTCAACCCAGCCCCTCACTGTAAGAAAGAGCTGGACTGCAACTCTGAGAGCACCGTACAAAGATTTCCTTTTTTGTGGCATTAACTGGCCTGCACAGGTCTAAACTCACACCTTTGGCTTCATTAATATCCATACTCTAATGAATCGAGTCAGCCACTGCAGACTCAATTCCTCATTGATAGGAGGGCTTAAAGCAATCATTACTTCTATTTCTGGAGTGCCCTCATGCCCTTGCTATTCATCAGCTGATACAATCCCTGATGAGAATACGTAGGGAGAATAGTAGCTCCCAGATGCAAACTGGAGAAGAAAGATAAGTCTTTTTGAAGAGTATACTAGAAATTTAAGATAAAACAAAGAGTGAGTCTATAGGCAAAGCATGAAAACTGTATGTGTCACCCAATATCTGCTCTGTTCACTGTTCTTTCTTTTAATTTGCCTCCTAATTTGGATTTCTTGTCAAAGGCAATCTTTGGGCTGACCTAGATCAGTATCTATGGAAATTGGTAATGTCCCTTTTCAGAGCCACTTCCATGAGATTGTTCAATCTCCTAAAACCGCACAAGGTGTGGGTGCCAGGGTAGTTCACATACATGAATTCTAAAGCGTATTAACTACCAAGCAATGAAATGCAAAGAGCAAACAGAAACCAATCCACAAAACAAAGGGAAAAAACTCCCAAATTGTGAAAATGTTATTTAACGTTACAGTCTGAGATTCTTGAAAATTCACCCTTAATACAAATGTGATTAAAAAAAAAAATATATATATATATATAAATGTGACAGGTAGATTCTCTTTCCTGCTAACTCCTAGAATGAGCTATTCTACGAAGCTTACACAGTCATATGAGGATGCTTCTCATTTCCCCTTACCTTTACCCAGAATAATGGCAACAAATAACATCCTGGACATTGTAGATGCCAGGTATTCTTGTATGACTGAAGTGCAACTAATTACAGTACTCGCTCTGAAAGTGTTGACTAATTACTTCCCCCGGGGTGGGGGTACTTTTAAAACAAAAATTGGAGATGCTTGAGGGCTTCTATGGGACTGTGAGCCAGAACACTCGCAATAAGAAACCCTCTGTAGAAAATCCAGGCTGTCTAACTAATGAAACCACACTTTAAGAACCTCCATGCAGCTGAGCATGGTGGTAAATGGGAGGCTAAGGCAAGATCACAGGTTCAAGCCTGGCCTGCACAACTTAGCGAGATTTAAAAAGGGGGTGGGGTAGGGATGTTGCTCAGTGCAAAGGCCCTGGGTTGAATCCACAGCGTGAAAATACGGAAGTGCAAGAGCACGATCTGCATGCAGTATTCAGTGTTCCACTTTTTTCCCTGAATATTCTTTCAAGAAGTAACTACGGTATTGACGGGAGAGAGGTCCAAATGCCCTCTTTCAACTGTTTAATAAAAACGAACAGTCTAGGCACGGCACACAGCACAGTGCCTGGCACACAGTACCCGTCCCTCCCCTGGCCCTTTACTTCCAGACAATCTTCTCCCCTTAGTGAGGTTCCCAAGATCTAGGAATTTTCGGCTGGCCTATGCTGGCCTCTTCCTGAGCTAACCACACTAAAACAGACCACGGTCGCAGAGTTTAAAGCGTGGCATAGGGCACCCACATGTGTGTATATGAGGTGCCTCCTAGTGGAGGCTGGCATGGGAAGAGAAGAGCACAAACTGGCTGAAAACCTCAGTTAAACCTGGTCATTAGGAAAGTATATTTGTCAAGACAGATGAACATAACATACTTTTACTTGTCAGCTTGACTCGTGCTTTTGAATTATTTAGTCCCACAAATATTTAAGTGCTATTTCTTTACAATGTCTTCAACCAAACAAAGAAGTAAACAGCTGAACTACACAAGTGGGTAGGTTTAAGATACTGTCCTCTCATTTTTTTTACTTTTACTTTGTTCTTTTATTAGTAAAATCAAAGGATGGTATTGATTGGAAATGCTAATTCTGGCACAGTAGCAGTTTTCATTCATTTTAATCCTATAATCCCATTCTAGACCTAAAGTTGTATTTACTGTTTGCATTTTAATCAGCATAGACTCAGATGATTAACAGCCTATATACCTTTACCATAACCTTGATGAAAGGGACAAATATGCCAGGAGAAAATAGGATTGCCTAAAAGGAGCTGCCTGAATGTATTTGTTCAACATCCTACAAAACACTCAGTAGTTTTAATCATATTGATGAATCACATTACAGCATAGATTTTAAGGAGAAAAATCTGACTTAGGGATAAGCATGATTTGTTTTCTTAATTGAAGGATAAGCTCATAACATGCTGAGAAAAAATCATTATGTAATATACTATATTATGAAGATAATCTATTAAAGTGCACTCAGAATATCAGAGGATAGTTACAATCATAAAATTGTTCTTGCCTGCAGTGTTTAAAATGCTTCATTCTGAATGAATCTGTTCTCAAAATTGATACATACAAAAGCAGCAACTGTAAATCCTTAGGGTTGAATTTCTCAATACCTTGAAATATTTGAATAGGATTTTGTATTTTAACATTGACACATGAAAAAGTATGAGAAAAAATATTACTATTACAATTGATAGAGAAAACAGCAACTCTTCACTTAACTGCACAGGTACTGATCGCTGATTCTTAACTGAACAAGTATGAACATCTTCATTCTTCTTAACTGTTTTTCTGTCACATTGAAGGGATGGCAGCAAAGTACACAGTCAACAGCTTACAAAAGAGGTTTTTAGACTGTCCATTTTATTTCTAATTCTCCTAAAATTAATAAATCTCGAAGTACTCTAAAATGACCATTTCTCTCTAACTTATTTTGCTTTATTGTGCAACCTGTTGGGAGGTAATACCATGCTGCAAATTGTGCCTAGCCTTATTCCAAAATCTAAACCCACCAATTATTTTTTCAATTAAAAAATTCATTTTTTGAAATTCTTTGGGACTTAAGTGGCTTAATCCATCCTAAACCAGATAAGTGATTAAGAGTAGAGATAGGGAGTAGGCAATCAAACAGTCTCCCTACTTTAAGGTTTTTCTTTGTAAGAAAAGCCTTGAATGGAATGTGCCCCTCACAGCAGATCCCCAGGAGAATTCTGTTTCTAGGAAGGATATCACAGTACTCAAGATTAGTGGTAACCTTTTGATTTTAGTCCAGTCAAGGGTGAAATATATTAATATTGAAAATGTAGAAGCAGAAATTTTTCAGTAACCTACCGTTATGTATCCATACATTATATCTACCAAAGAATTTCCAACTAGTTCAAAATAGATGATTTCCTTAAAAGACTGATGCAACTTCTTTTCAAGAGAGGACTTTATAGCTTGGAAAACAGAGGCTAGAAAATGAAAGCATCTTTGGAAGCATCACCCTGTCTTAAATCAATGAATGATGTCTTTTAAAAAAATGCCATCCAATTTTTTTTTTTCATAATGGCAAACATCAACACAGCAAAACAGGATGCAATTTTTCTAAATAAATAAATCAATGATGTGTCAAAAATTAACAGATGAGTTAATATACTCGGTGCTATCAAAACCAGATGGTGCTTCCTAATATTCATCCTGCTCAGTCAATCCCTGAATATTTTCTGGACCATCGGTATATAAAATAGGATGCTGCTATTTGTGATGGCAAACAAAAGCAATCATGCCTGCCAAGCACATACTATAACAGGCAGCATTTCAGCTCTGCTAGACAGAAAGTAATTAGAATGCTTTTAATGTCCAAAAGAATGATGCTGATAGGCTGCCACAGATGTGTAGATTTATGAATATTTATATGGTGGTTTATAGCTGACACTTTTATCAGTTGAAGAAGATAAAATATCTGCCTGACTCAAAAGCTTGACAGTCAGGTTAATAAAATCTCATTAAAGAGAATGACCTATGCAATTATATAGGATTTATTGTAATTCATTTTTGATTGTACTCTGCTTAAAGATGCAATTTCCCATTTCCTGATGCCAAATTTAGGCTGCATATCAAGATCTACGTGGGTTTTAACTCTAAGCCTCCCACAGAGGAAAAATATGCTTTTAAAATCATGGTGTACTACCCCTTTTAAGGAAAATTACACTCTTCATGAGATTTTATAAGACTGTTGAAAAAAAATCTATTTTTAATCACACATTTCTCTCCTCAATGGTTTATGGCCCTTAATGGCATACAAGATTCACTTCAACCCTTTCATCTTGTCACTACATTTACCCTTGATAGTCAGTTAGGCCTCTTCTAGCCTGGACTCACATCATCATACTGATGTTTTGACTGTTGTCAGTTTCCTAGGAGGGGTGGGACACTGCAACTGCACTTTTGTGAGGGTGCAACAGGCAAAGCACCCCACCCCCACCCCATGTGTTTAAATGGCTGTGGTGTGTGCACAAGCTCATTGGTTCAAAGTGGAACCATTAGTTCCTCAAAGAACCAATCAGCTCTTCAGGTGGCTGTCCCGAAGATGGCCACTTACACTGTACCTGTTGAGAGATGGCACTGTCCATCAATGATTACTATTATGACCGTAATTATTGACGTCCAGTCCTGTGGCTCCCCCCCCCCCAGACTATTTTCCTCATTGCATGGAAGAAACATACCATCCAATTCCTGCTTTTCCAACACGAAACATCCTATCAAGTTTATGACCTTGCTAAGAGGAGGATGGAAAGGAGGAAGAAGGGAGGAAGAAAGGAAGGAAGGCAGGGAGGCAGGCAGGCAGGCAGGCCGCCCTGGATAATTAAAGGCAATACAGGGAAGTTTGAAAGGCATCAAAAAAAAATCTTTCACGCCTTAGATTCAGTGAGGTTGATTCGTACCTGAGGACAGAGA